AGCGGGGGAGGGCGGAGAGCGCGGAGGCGGGGTGGGCGCGCATGATGGCCGCCACGCCTGCTGACGGCCGCACCCCGCCCAGGCAGGCCGCCTCCAGCCGCCGTGCAGTGCAGATTTCCTGAGGTGACTGGTGGAAGAATGGGGAGAGTGGGGAATGGCGAAGGGGTGAATTAAGGAGTATGTACTCTCGACAGACCAGGTAAGCCGCTTCCACCTTTTTTCAGAAATTGCTGAAATGATTGAAAACGTACCAGAACAATCCGGCCGTTGGTATCGCTGCTGCCACTTGCCGAAATCAGCTCTGCAGCAGCCGCTGCAAACAGCAGCAGGCGAACAGACTCGCTATTGGTGCTGGTAGTGTTGGTCTCGCTCGAATCGTTCTCCTTGCATTCTGAGACAGCCACCTGCCGACACGGAATATGGTAGTTGCGACATGGGACAGGTTAGTAACGACACGAAGCGGGACAATAAGGACATTGGGCGGAACAGTAAGGACACAGGAAAGGATAGCCAAGGAGTCTCAGGAATCCGTCCAGTAAACATTAAATAAAAACTTGCAGCTTCGCCTGTTCGCATCCCCGTACCTCGATCTCGGCCGTCAATCTTCCTTTGAGCGACTCATCCAACGTCTCCTCGACAGCCACGTCAGCGAGCATCTCGGGCGACACTCCCGCCAGGCTTCCAACCCTCGGAGGCCCGGCAAACAGAGAGTTAAAGCCACTGTCCGCATTGTTGTCCCAAACAACCGTTACTCTGGTTCCGCTACTACTGCTGCTGCCGCTGCTGCTACCGGTGCCTGCAGCCATGGCTGCCGTGTCGTCGTCCCGCTTTCTCTGCAGGCGACGCGCGAGAGTCGCCGCGACGGCCGGCGCGAGACAGAGGGTTCGAAGACGGTCCATCACTCCTCCCTGCATTGGATACACGAGCGTCGCGAGAACGGTCGCGAAAACGGTACGAAAGCGGAAGGGTGAGAGAAAAGTGAGCAAGGGTGAGAGAAAAGAGGCGGGAAATGCGGATGTTGCCACGAAGGGTTGGAAAGTACACAAATTTTATCCATAGAGAGTTTCTCGTTTTGCGAGCGAGGGGTTAAACAGTTACTACTTGAACTCTCCGCAAACGCACCTTAGCAATGGCGTAGACATCACCCAGTTCGGCAGCACGCGCCGACCTCTCCGCACTCTCCGCTCGCCCGGCGATCGCCGCACTCTCCGCACTCTCCGCTCGCCCGGCGATCGCCGCACTCTCCGCACTCTCCAGTAGCCCGGCGTTCTCCGCACTCTCCGCTTGCCCGGCGTTCTCCGCACTCTCCGCACCCTCCGCTTGCCCGGCGTTCTCCGCCTTCTCCGCCTTCTCAGCATTCCCCGCATCCTCTGAGCTCTCAGAACTCCCTGCAGTCGTCTCTCCTCGCGCTGTATCCTGGACAGGCCCAGCTGTAGCTTCTTCCGACGCTTCGGCGTCACCAAGTGACCCTGATTTCGTTCCCTCAACGGCGCTCCCCTGGTCTTTCGATATCTCCTCATTTGTCGCTGATGTTTCTGGATTCTCCTGAGCCACAGCCCATGAGTTTTTATCCCCTGAAACGGCTCCTGCGGTTCCGTCTTCCAGATAGCCACCTTCGCTCTGCGCCACGAAAATGTCGGTGGTTTCAGAGTTACCACTTGCAGTTCGCGAAACATCGCTGTCTTCGTTCTCTGCTGCAACATCGGGTCGAATCTCAATAACCTCAACGGCAGGGATGCTCATTCGACGGATTCCGTTTAAGGAGTTTGGACGTACGGTAACGGAAGAGTCAGCAGACGGGAAAAATAGTTTCTGGGATTGAAGAGGCTGGGGAAAGAGGCCGCCAACTGCGACCATCGAGAAGACCATGACAGCCGTGAGAAAGAGAATCGCGACTGAGTTAAAACCGAGTGATTGGGAGATTTCTACGACGCTGGCGCGCGAAAGACTCGTGAGGTTCCATGTACGATTTTGTCGCGCAGGCGAATTAGTCGCCTGACTCTTTTTACGGTCTATTTCAACGCCTCCTGACAATTCCATGTCCGCCTAGTACAAGAAAGCCCGTCGCACTCCTAGCGCACGTGGAGGAGGAACTCTACAAGTGTGAGACACTACGTTGATAGTACTAATCGGCGATGCTTTGTGGTCCTGCCTCGCTACTTCACACCTTGGTTGTGCTACCTTCTAGTTCATCGTCGCTTGTTATAGCTGAGAGGCTATGTGCGTCCCCTAAGGTACGCCTGATTGCGGTTTGATCTGTTGCATCGCGTTGAGAGTGGTCGGATAGGGCTTACTAGCTTTTGAGTAGGGTGCTAGAGCGAGAACGAGGGGTGACACACTCGTGGAGAACAAACGGCTTGCATTTTCGTCTCCCTGGGAATTACCTTCCCGTCAAAATGCCTCTGTTTTGCGGTTCGCAAACCCACAATTCAGCGCAGCGTCAGTGTTGAGTTGACCGTCGCCCGTATAAATCGCTCGGGGCGGGGCACCACGCGCTGCGACAGTTCCGATTTTCCCTGCTGGTCAGAGCCTGTTTTTCGTCGGTCCCCTTGGAATTTACATTTCCGATGCCCGCGCATCGGGTTTCGGGAAATTCTCAGTGACAGGGAAGAACATGGGCAAGAATGTTGTGCCCACTGCCCGCTTCCGGTTCAACCTAGGATGGATGCGATTGGTCGAATTTGGCGGCATCACCTATCCGCGCTATTGGACTTGTCTGGCACTCTGTCTGGAGGCTTTCATCTTCCAACGAAATCACCGACAGATCTACACTGGTGTAAGCGTGAAAGCAGATATGCGTTGAGTTGTCTCAAAGTCACTTCGGCTCAAAAAGAAGATGCTTTCTTCCAAGCACAACAGGCATAGCGTAGGATGATGCTTGTATTCAGCGGATTTGCGCTGCTTATATAAATGTGAAAGCGTCGTGTCTTGCAGTGGAAAAGACGGTCGCTGTCATGTGGTGAACCCCTCACACGCGTGGATACTCGGTCGAAGTCTTATTTCTGTCGAGATTCAGGCAGATACTCTGGCAGCTCATTCCTATGATAATAAACATATAAGCTGATTCTGCATTTCCATTTCCCGTCGACGAACCATGACGGACCCGTCAGCCTCGCGCATTGAAGACGTGGCCCTAGAAACTCCTCACGTCATTCAAGAAGACCGAGCACTCGCCAATAATCTCCTTGAGAACGAGAGCCGTCATGCTTTAAAGACGTCTCTAAAAGATGCCCCGGTGAACGAGACCATTCATCCAGAAACAGCGTCAGACGAAATGGCCGAAACCGCTTGCCTTATATCACCACTGCTGATAGCCATTCCTCTCAGTCTTACCCATCTGTACTCTCCAATACTCTCCCAATTTCATGGCTCCAATCGTCGTCACAAGCAGTCAGTCGGAGATTCACGTCGTGCTTCAGAATCCTAGGATTCGGTGGGGTTTACTCTTCCAAACGCCGTTCAAAGAAAGACAAGAAGGCGAAGGGAAAGCGTGACGTCGCCGGATTCGTTACTGTCACTTCGATATACGCAACGCTCATCTGGCTCGTCCTCCTGGTGCTAATTTTCATCGGTGTTACAGCGATTGGACGCGTGCTGCACTTCTATTGGTCCATGCAGAGAGACAGCAATAATCTCGGTCCAGTTATGGTGACTTTAGAGAGCGATTTACTGACGGTCCGTCAGGCTCCGTCAGAGGCGTCTCAAGGTAGCGAATCAGCGGCGACGCGGGAGACCGCAGTTCCTACCGTGAACGACGATGCTGGGAGTCGTGTTGCTGTTGGAACGGAAACAAGCTCCACTGCTCACCGTACTGCTGACAGCGGCAGTTCAGATGGCACGGAATTAAGCTCCAGAGGTCACCGTACTGCTGACAGCGGCAGTTCAGATGGCACGGAATTAAGCTCCAGAGGTCACAGTAGTGCTGACAGCGGCAGTTCAGATGGCACGGAATTAAGCTCCAGAGGTCACAGTAGTGCTGACACCGGCAGTTCAGATGGCACGGAATTAAGCTCCAGAGGTCACAGTAGTGCTGACACCGGCAGTTCAGATGGCACGGAATTAAGCTCCAGAGGTCACAGTAGTGCTGACAGCGGCAGTTCAGTTGCCATGGATACAAGCTCCGCTGCTCACAGCAGTGATGCTCACAGCAGTGATGCTGACAGCAGTGGTTCTGGTCTCACGGGAACAAGCTCCAGAGGTCACCGTACTGGTGACAATGGCAGTTCAGATGACACGGAATTAAGCTCCAGAGGTCACAGTAGTGCTGACAGCGGCAGCTCAGTTGCCATGGATACAAGCTCCGCTGCTCACAGCAGTGATGCTCACAGCAGTGATGCTGACAGCAGTGGTTCTGGTCTCACGGGAACACGCTTCAGCGCTGACAGAAGCGGTTCTCATGTCACTGAAATGAGCAGCGCGAAGGGAGGACTACTCAGACCGTCGTTTAGAGTCGTTGCTCTGGCAGAGGTATGTGCTGCGTCGTGTGGTTTGTTCCTCCTTTTCTTTCTTTTCCCACTTAAGATTCGCTTGATTTTTATTTTATTTTCCTTCTGTTGGAAGGTTGCAATTTGACCTCGTACCCCCTCGTAGATCAGTTTCTGATCATACCATAACCATTTATTTACACGAGAAGATATGACGTTTCAATACAGTAATCTCGTGTTTCAAATGCATGCGATTCTACATGGCAGGGTGGGACCATGTCACAACTTCAAACGCTCTGCCTTGCGCCAGCTGTCGCCACCGTTTTGGCCAGACGGTTTCAGTCAGCAGGGGTGACGGACAGTGGGAGTTCCGTCAGCTCAGTCAAGTCTGCTGATGTACATGATAACTCTGTCGGCGTTTGGGACAGGGGTCTGGTCACTGTAGTGTGGCGGAAAGACCGTAGCTCGTTGATTGGTGGAGAAAGGGAAGGGAGCAGCAGCAGCAGCAGTGCCGGTGACTTGATTCCCCATGCGCCGTTTGACGCTCTCTTTGCTGGGCCTCCTGACAGGGAGCGAATGAGACGAGTGATGCTGGCAGGATCCGAACCTGCTGCTGTGGGTTCTGCAGCAGGAGCAGCAGGAGCAGCAGGAGCAGCAGCATCAGCAGCAGCAGGAGCAGGAGCAGCGGCAACAGGAGCGGGCTCAGACTCAGCGCTGCTGCGGAGGCTAATGGATAGCTGGCCAGACGTGGTGGTGCAGGCAGACATGCCCGCTGACCTGCCTCATGCGTCCCTCCGATGGCTCAATGTGAGTACAGGGGTCCAGGGCCACGGGTATACCAGATGACTGGGGTGGGGAGTCGCAGTGCTGCGGAGGCTAATGGATAGCTGGCCAGACGTGGTGGTGCAGGGAGACATGCCCTCCGACCCGCCTCTTTCATCCCTCAGATGGCTCAATGTGAGTACAGGGGTCCAGCCAGGTACAGGTCAATGTGACTGGGAGGGAGGAGTTGCAGCGCTGGTGCTGAGGCTAATGGATAGCTGGCCAGACGTGATCGTGCAGGGAGACATGCCCGCCGACCTGCCGCTCGCATCCCTCAGATGGCTCAATGTGAGTCGAGGGTAGAGGGGCCACGGGTAGAGCAGGTAGTTTGCGGTACATGTGATGTGGGGTGCCTTGTGCAGCAAAGCTCCTTGCTTACACGTGCAGATTCTACTACTGTGTTAAGTGCACAAGTCCACTTATCTGGCTCAATGTGAGACGACAGCTGAAGGGCGATGGGTAGAGCAGGTGACTGGCCGTACAGGCATTCACTCACTCACTCCCCTTCATGGCTCCGTCACTTGCTCTCTTCTTTCCTCCCTTGATTGCTCTCCCTCATGCATCCCTCACTTGCTCCCGCTCATCCCTCCCTCACTTGCTCCCGCTCATGCCTCCCTCACTTGCTCCCGCTCATGCCTCCCTCACTTGCTCCCCCTCTTGCCTCCCGCTTATTCTTCCTCATCCGTCAACCCTCCACGTCCTCCCATCGTCCCAGGTCTCACTGCCGCCGTGCGCCACCAGTGCTGTCAGTGCAAGTGCTCCCATCATCCCTCTCCCCTCCACGTCCCCCCATCTTCCCAGGTCTCACTGCCGCCGTGCGCCACCGGTGCTGTCAGTGCAAGTGCTCCCATCATCCCTCTCCCCTCCACGTCCCCCCATCTTCCCAGGTCTCACTGCCGCCGTGCGCCACCAGTGCTGTCAGTGCAAGTGCTCCCATCATCCCTCTCCCCTCCACGTCCCCCCATCTTCCCAGGTCTCACTGCCGCCGTGCGCCACCAGTGCTGTCAGTGCAAGTGCTCCCATCATCCCTCTCCCCTCCACGTCCCCCCATCTTCCCAGGTCTCACTGCCGCCGTGCGCCACCAGTGCTGTCAGTGCAAGTGCTCCCATCATCCCTCTCCCCTCCACGTCCCCCCATCTTCCCAGGTCTCACTGCCGCCGTGCGCCACCAGTGCTGTCAGTGCAAGTGCTCCCATCATCCCTCTCCCCTCCACGTCCCCCCATCTTCCCAGGTCTCACTGCTGCCGTGCGCCACCAGTGCTGTCAGTGCAAGTGCTCCCATCATCCCTCTCCCCTCCACGTCCCCCCATCTTCCCAGGTCTCACTGCTGCCGTGCGCCACCAGTGCTGTCAGTGCAAGTGCTCCCATCATCCCTCTCCCCTCCACGTCCCCCCATCTTCCCAGGTCTCACTGCCACCTTGCGCCACCAGTGCTGTCAGTGCAAGTGCTCCCATCATCCCTCTCCCCTCCACGTCCCCCCATCTTCCCAGGTCTCACTGCCGCCGTGCGCCACCAGTGCTGTCAGTGCAAGTGCTCCCATCATCCCTCTCCCCTCCACGTCCCCCCATCTTCCCAGGTCTCACTGCCACCTTGCTCCTCCAGTGCTCCTGGCACCAGTGACAGCAGCACAGACAGCAGCAGTGCCAGCAGTGCCAGCAGTGGTGGCAGTGAGAGTGGGAGGAGCGCAGAGGGGTGGGTCACACAGACAGACACTGTCGTCTCTCTGCTGCTTCCCAATGCATCGTGGAGCCTTGCTTCTTCGTCCCTGGTAAGCTGGGAATTAATCGCTCTGATAGTTATGTTATACAGCGAGTTATGTTATACAGCGAGATACGTATATATATATATATGTATTTATTTGTGGTTGAGCAGCCGATTGTTTTAAAAAATGAAACTGGTCTGCGACGTGACATTCTCAATGCACACGCCCTTCTTGAGGCACCTTACCATGCATCGTTGCAGCCTTCAATCCACCTCCCTTGACTCTCTCGCCTCTCTTCCCCCTCCCCTCGCTAGACCCCCTCCGAGTCTTGCAGCGTGAGGGCACTCGAAACGGCCTGCCTGGGCGGGGTGCTGCCGTCAGCAGGCGTGGCGGCCATCATGCGCACCCACCCCGCCTCCACCCTCTCTAGGCTGCCCCATTCTACGGCTATCTATCTTGAGGTGAGAGCAGCGAGGGAGCAGAAAGGAGCTGTGCGGTGGGGAAGGGTGCGAGGAGGTTGAGTTGACTCAGAAAGAGCAGGCGTGGCGGCCATCATGCGCACCCACCCCGCCTCCACCCTCTCTAGGCTGCCCCATTCTACGGCTATCTATCTTGAGGTGAGAGCAGCGAGGGAGCAGAAAGGAGCTGTGCGGTGGGGAAGGGTGCGAGGAGGTTGAGTTGACTCAGAAAGAGCAGGCGTGGCGGCCATCATGCGCACCCACCCCGCCTCCACCCTCTCTAGGCTGCCCCATTCTACGGCTATCTATCTTGAGGTGAGAGCAGCGAGGGAGCAGAAAGGAGCTGTGCGGTGGGGAAGGGTGCGAGGAGGTTGAGTTGACTCAGAAAGAGCAGGCGTGGCGGCCATCATGCGCACCCACCCCGCCTCCACCCTCTCTAGGCTGCCCCATTCTACGGCTATCTATCTTGAGGTGAGAGCAGCGAGGGAGCAGAAAGGAGCTGTGCGGTGGGGAAGGGTGCGAGGAGGTTGAGTTGACTCAGAAAGAGCAGGCGTGGCGGCCATCATGCGCACCCACCCCGCCTCCACCCTCTCTAGGCTGCCCCATTCTACGGCTATCTATCTTGAGGTGAGAGCAGCGAGGGAGCAGAAAGGAGCTGTGCGGTGGGGAAGGGTGCGAGGAGGTTGAGTTGACTCAGAAAGAGCAGGCGTGGCGGCCATCATGCGCACCCACCCCGCCTCCACCCTCTCTAGGCTGCCCCATTCTACGGCTATCTATCTTGAGGTGAGAGCAGCGAGGGAGCAGAAAGGAGCTGTGCGGTGGGGAAGGGTGCGAGGAGGTTGAGTTGACTCAGAAAGAGCAGGCGTGGCGGCCATCATGCGCACCCACCCCGCCTCCACCCTCTCTAGGCTGCCCCATTCTACGGCTATCTATCTTGAGGTGAGAGCAGCGAGGGAGCAGAAAGGAGCTGTGCGGTGGGGAAGGGTGCGAGGAGGTTGAGTTGACTCAGAAAGAGCAGGCGTGGCGGCCATCATGCGCACCCACCCCGCCTCCACCCTCTCTAGGCTGCCCCATTCTACGGCTATCTATCTTGAGGTGAGAGCAGCGAGGGAGCAGAAAGGAGCTGTGCGGTGGGGAAGGGTGCGAGGAGGTTGAGTTGACTCAGAAAGAGCAGGCGTGGCGGCCATCATGCGCACCCACCCCGCCTCCACCCTCTCTAGGCTGCCCCATTCTACGGCTATCTATCTTGAGGTGAGAGCAGCGAGGGAGCAGAAAGGAGCTGTGCGGTGGGGAAGGGTGCGAGGAGGTTGAGTTGACTCAGAAAGAGCAGGCGTGGCGGCCATCATGCGCACCCACCCCGCCTCCACCCTCTCTAGGCTGCCCCATTCTACGGCTATCTATCTTGAGGTGAGAGCAGCGAGGGAGCAGAAAGGAGCTGTGCGGTGGGGAAGGGTGCGAGGAGGTTGAGTTGACTCAGAAAGAGCAGGCGTGGCGGCCATCATGCGCACCCACCCCGCCTCCACCCTCTCTAGGCTGCCCCATTCTACGGCTATCTATCTTGAGGTGAGAGCAGCGAGGGAGCAGAAAGGAGCTGTGCGGTGGGGAAGGGTGCGAGGAGGTTGAGTTGACTCAGAAAGAGCAGGCGTGGCGGCCATCATGCGCACCCACCCCGCCTCCACCCTCTCTAGGCTGCCCCATTCTACGGCTATCTATCTTGAGGTGAGAGCAGCGAGGGAGCAGAAAGGAGCTGTGCGGTGGGGAAGGGTGCGAGGAGGTTGAGTTGACTCAGAAAGAGCAGGCGTGGCGGCCATCATGCGCACCCACCCCGCCTCCACCCTCTCTAGGCTGCCCCATTCTACGGCTATCTATCTTGAGGTGAGAGCAGCGAGGGAGCAGAAAGGAGCTGTGCGGTGGGGAAGGGTGCGAGGAGGTTGAGTTGACTCAGAAAGAGCAGGCGTGGCGGCCATCATGCGCACCCACCCCGCCTCCACCCTCTCTAGGCTGCCCCATTCTACGGCTATCTATCTTGAGGTGAGAGCAGCGAGGGAGCAGAAAGGAGCTGTGCGGTGGGGAAGGGTGCGAGGAGGTTGAGTTGACTCAGAAAGAGCAGGCGTGGCGGCCATCATGCGCACCCACCCCGCCTCCACCCTCTCTAGGCTGCCCCATTCTATGGCTATCTATCTTGAGGTGAGAGCAGCGAGGGAGCAGAAAGGAGCTGTGCGGTGGGGAAGGGTGCGAGGAGGTTGAGTTGACTCAGAAAGAGCAGGCGTGGCGGCCATCATGCGCACCCACCCCGCCTCCACCCTCTCTAGGCTGCCCCATTCTACGGCTATCTATCTTGAGGTGAGAGCAGCGAGGGAGCAGAAAGGAGCTGTGCGGTGGGGAAGGGTGCGAGGAGGTTGAGTTGACTCAGAAAGAGCAGGCGTGGCGGCCATCATGCGCACCCACCCCGCCTCCACCCTCTCTAGGCTGCCCCATTCTACGGCTATCTATCTTGAGGTGAGAGCAGCGAGGGAGCAGAAAGGAGCTGTGCGGTGGGGAAGGGTGCGAGGAGGTTGAGTTGACTCAGAAAGAGCAGGCGTGGCGGCCATCATGCGCACCCACCCCGCCTCCACCCTCTCTAGGCTGCCCCATTCTACGGCTATCTATCTTGAGGTGAGAGCAGCGAGGGAGCAGAAAGGAGCTGTGCGGTGGGGAAGGGTGCGAGGAGGTTGAGTTGACTCAGAAAGAGCAGGCGTGGCGGCCATCATGCGCACCCACCCCGCCTCCACCCTCTCTAGGCTGCCCCATTCTACGGCTATCTATCTTGAGGTGAGAGCAGCGAGGGAGCAGAAAGGAGCTGTGCGGTGGGGAAGGGTGCGAGGAGGTTGAGTTGACTCAGAAAGAGCAGGCGTGGCGGCCATCATGCGCACCCACCCCGCCTCCACCCTCTCTAGGCTGCCCCATTCTACGGCTATCTATCTTGAGGTGAGAGCAGCGAGGGAGCAGAAAGGAGCTGTGCGGTGGGGAAGGGTGCGAGGAGGTTGAGTTGACTCAGAAAGAGCAGGCGTGGCGGCCATCATGCGCACCCACCCCGCCTCCACCCTCTCTAGGCTGCCCCATTCTACGGCTATCTATCTTGAGGTGAGAGCAGCGAGGGAGCAGAAAGGAGCTGTGCGGTGGGGAAGGGTGCGAGGAGGTTGAGTTGACTCAGAAAGAGCAGGCGTGGCGGCCATCATGCGCACCCACCCCGCCTCCACCCTCTCTAGGCTGCCCCATTCTACGGCTATCTATCTTGAGGTGAGAGCAGCGAGGGAGCAGAAAGGAGCTGTGCGGTGGGGAAGGGTGCGAGGAGGTTGAGTTGACTCAGAAAGAGCAGGCGTGGCGGCCATCATGCGCACCCACCCCGCCTCCACCCTCTCTAGGCTGCCCCATTCTACGGCTATCTATCTTGAGGTGAGAGCAGCGAGGGAGCAGAAAGGAGCTGTGCGGTGGGGAAGGGTGCGAGGAGGTTGAGTTGACTCAGAAAGAGCAGGCGTGGCGGCCATCATGCGCACCCACCCCGCCTCCACCCTCTCTAGGCTGCCCCATTCTACGGCTATCTATCTTGAGGTGAGAGCAGCGAGGGAGCAGAAAGGAGCTGTGCGGTGGGGAAGGGTGCGAGGAGGTTGAGTTGACTCAGAAAGAGCAGGCGTGGCGGCCATCATGCGCACCCACCCCGCCTCCACCCTCTCTAGGCTGCCCCATTCTACGGCTATCTATCTTGAGGTGAGAGCAGCGAGGGAGCAGAAAGGAGCTGTGCGGTGGGGAAGGGTGCGAGGAGGTTGAGTTGACTCAGAAAGAGCAGGCGTGGCGGCCATCATGCGCACCCACCCCGCCTCCACCCTCTCTAGGCTGCCCCATTCTACGGCTATCTATCTTGAGGTGAGAGCAGCGAGGGAGCAGAAAGGAGCTGTGCGGTGGGGAAGGGTGCGAGGAGGTTGAGTTGACTCAGAAAGAGCAGGCGTGGCGGCCATCATGCGCACCCACCCCGCCTCCACCCTCTCTAGGCTGCCCCATTCTACGGCTATCTATCTTGAGGTGAGAGCAGCGAGGGAGCAGAAAGGAGCTGTGCGGTGGGGAAGGGTGCGAGGAGGTTGAGTTGACTCAGAAAGAGCAGGCGTGGCGGCCATCATGCGCACCCACCCCGCCTCCACCCTCTCTAGGCTGCCCCATTCTACGGCTATCTATCTTGAGGTGAGAGCAGCGAGGGAGCAGAAAGGAGCTGTGCGGTGGGGAAGGGTGCGAGGAGGTTGAGTTGACTCAGAAAGAGCAGGCGTGGCGGCCATCATGCGCACCCACCCCGCCTCCACCCTCTCTAGGCTGCCCCATTCTACGGCTATCTATCTTGAGGTGAGAGCAGCGAGGGAGCAGAAAGGAGCTGTGCGGTGGGGAAGGGTGCGAGGAGGTTGAGTTGACTCAGAAAGAGCAGGCGTGGCGGCCATCATGCGCACCCACCCCGCCTCCACCCTCTCTAGGCTGCCCCATTCTACGGCTATCTATCTTGAGGTGAGAGCAGCGAGGGAGCAGAAAGGAGCTGTGCGGTGGGGAAGGGTGCGAGGAGGTTGAGTTGACTCAGAAAGAGCAGGCGTGGCGGCCATCATGCGCACCCACCCCGCCTCCACCCTCTCTAGGCTGCCCCATTCTACGGCTATCTATCTTGAGGTGAGAGCAGCGAGGGAGCAGAAAGGAGCTGTGCGGTGGGGAAGGGTGCGAGGAGGTTGAGTTGACTCAGAAAGAGCAGGCGTGGCGGCCATCATGCGCACCCACCCCGCCTCCACCCTCTCTAGGCTGCCCCATTCTACGGCTATCTATCTTGAGGTGAGAGCAGCGAGGGAGCAGAAAGGAGCTGTGCGGTGGGGAAGGGTGCGAGGAGGTTGAGTTGACTCAGAAAGAGCAGGCGTGGCGGCCATCATGCGCACCCACCCCGCCTCCACCCTCTCTAGGCTGCCCCATTCTACGGCTATCTATCTTGAGGTGAGAGCAGCGAGGGAGCAGAAAGGAGCTGTGCGGTGGGGAAGGGTGCGAGGAGGTTGAGTTGACTC